TCTGTCTGAAACCAGAGCCCAGTCTGCTCTGATTGGTTAGCTGGCCGGCTCTGTTGTGATTGGTCAACCGTTAGAGATGTCCCGCCCCTTAGTCTATCACGGCCCGTCCACACAGCGGCGTGCGTTGAAGCTTGCCGGCGGGCGTGTCTGAAACTCGACCAACAACCAATCACATGAATCTCCCGCCCCGGACACACAAGCAGCGGTTTGATTGGCTAGAGCTTGTACTGGCATATGATTCGATTGGCTGACGTTTCTGCCGAGGCTTCAAAAGTTGAACATTGCTCAACCTTTGCAGCGAGCCACGCCAGCAAAGCTCCGCGTCACTTCCCACAATGCAGTTCGGCAAAAAGTGACGTCACCCCATTCAAAGTGAATGGTGAAGCTTTCAATGCACGCCGCTGTGTGGACGGGCCGTAAGAGACACAACACTACTGCAAGTCAACCAGAATCAACACATATTGAAACCCAAATTAAAAACTTCCCCAAAAGAGACACAAAAGGACAACGGTTTGACACTAAATAGCTATAAGACACCCAAACATAGACCAAGGGGACACAAAACTACTGCAGATTGCCAAAGTACAGACACAGTGTTCTGCCAAAGGACTCCCTTCACAGTTGTTAGTGTTTCACTTTTCCTTTCTGTCCTGCAGCTGGAGATAAAGTCATGGCTCGTCACAGGAGACAGTATTTCGATGGAGCTGCTGAAGACGGAGAAAGGAAACGCCACTGTGGCTCTGAACCGCCTCCGAGAGCTGCAGAACATCTCCGCCTCCAGCCATAAAACTGTAAGGATTCACACCCTTTAAAGAGACTCGGTTACGACTAAGGTTATTCTTGCGTATAAAAACACACACTGACCAACTTTCTTTAAAGGTGATATTGGCGTCCGGATATTATGCAGCATTCAGAGTGACACTGGTGGCCAAAGCACTGGAGGGCCTGTATGATGGAGCCATTCACATCACCACAGATTACGAGGTAGGAAGCCAATCAAAAGCTGCGATTTTTAAACCAATGACCAATCAGTATTCGGTCTAATGTTGCCTCTTCTCCCCCCCATCAGATATTAACCATCCCAGTGAAAGCTCTCATCGCAGTGGGGACGCTAAGCAGCTCTCCGAAGCACATCGTTTTACCGGCTTCGTTTCCAGTGAGTAACTCGGAGGCCTAATTCCAAACCGACCCACACACACTTCCACTATGTTTGCGCGTTCACATGGAGGGTCCGCCAACAAGTGGGGAGTGTGTTATCAAGCCCTCCAACAGCGAGTTAGTGCAGGAATGAAAAATGCTGTTTACAAATAGTTCTGTGCAAACGTTTACTAGTAAATTGCACCGAATAAGCGACATTTAATATTGTATTTGATGTAAACTTGAAGGTTAGACTTACGATACGATAATTACTGTCAGATCAATCGGACATTTTTCTTGCATCGCAGCAGCTCCATTTGCAAAATCAAACAAGGTCACATATTAAGGCACGATGCAAGGAAACAGACATTTAACATACCATTACAATCACTGAAAAAAGAACTAGTTTAAGACCCTCTAACGTACATTTGATCTGGGATGTTTAATTTGAGGATGGACTGGTGCACAAAGGAGTGCTTCAGTCTTACTTTAT